GCATAATACAATGATTTCTGAATGATCATGTGACACTGAAGACTGGAGTAATGATGCTGAAAATTCAGCATCGCATCAAATGAATAAATTACGTTTTATAATATATTAAAATAGAAAACAGTTCTTTTAAATTGTAATATTTAATAATATTGAAATAATTAGTGCTGTCAAACGATTAATCGTGATTAATCGCATCCAAAATAAAAGTTTTTGTTTACATAATGTATGTATGTGTACTGTGTATATTTATTATGTATATATAAATACACATACATGCATCTATATATTTTAGAAAAAAATGTAAGTTTATGTATTAAATATATTTATTTATATTTATTTAATATAATTATATAAATATAGACATGTAAATACATGTAAATATTTTCAAAATATATACTGTATGTGTGTGTATTTATATATACATAATAAATATACACAGTACACAAACATATATTATGTGAATGTGATGCTTTTATTTTGGATGCGATTAATCGTTTGACAGCACTAGAAATAATATAAATGCAGCCTTGATGAGCATAAAAAAATGCTTACCCACATATACCCCGTCTATCCATCTAAAATTTAGTTACAAATTGATTTTTTACTCAACACTTTTTGTGTATCTATTTTATAGTGTGAACTAGTGCTGGGCGGTATACCGGTTCATACCGAATACCGGTGTTTATTTTTGTTATGATATGAATTTTTAAAATACCGCAATACCGGTGTATGTCGCTTAAACAACGTTCAGAACGCGACACTGTTTGAAACGGGTCCGTTTTCACTGTTGCACTGTGGTGAGGGAACAGCTGTATGTGTTACTAATCGAAACTGAAGCTGTAGAACTAATAGAACGTGATGACCGGAGAAGTGTCACCTCTCTCTGCGTCTGTTCTGTGCAGTGAGCAGCAGAGAAGCAGTTGGCCGCACCGCAGCCGACTCGTCAATAAATGAGTACAAAACAGCGTTTCCTAGCACCTGTCGCTTACTGATTGTTTGGAATTATAAATATGAGCGTAGTTCGTCTGTTAATATCACATGCACTTTTTTGTTTTTTTTAGTTTGTTACTCAGATGCAGGCAGTGCGCTGCATGAGACAAAAAAGTAATATAGCCAAAACAACCGCATAGCCGCTCTTTAGTGTAGATGCATGTTGATTTTGTCAGATGATGCCATGATTATAAATGAGAGTGACTCCTGGTTAACGTGTATTAAAAGGGGTCGTGTTTAGTCACTATTTAGTGTGGTATTTTTTGACAATATTCACTCATCATGACAGTAAAATAGGGCATTCTAAGTCAATATACTGCAGTATTTCCTCTCTCAATCAGTAGAAAATATGGTTAACACCCGGTCATGCATGAAAAAAAAATACCGTCATGTACCGTGAAACCGGTATAATTTTGAAAAATACCGTGATATAACTTTTTGGTCATACCACCCAGCACTAGTGTGAACAATATTGTCTATGAGGCGAAAATCATCAATCTAATAGATTTGAAAAAATTATCACATGAAAAAAAATCACATGATTTGGGGTATTATTCATTTCTGTAGCATAAACATTGTGGAATTTATATGCTGAAGTTTGTATATAGTATTGAGCCATAGG